GGTGCTGGTTCTGATGTCCGGTGGGCCCATTGATGTTTCGTTTGCTAAAAATGATCCTCGAATTAGTGGTATTCTTTGGGTTGGATATCCCGGCCAAGCCGGTGGCGCCGCCATTGCTGATGTCCTCTTTGGCACCACTAATCCCGGTATCGTTTCTCCCTCCTTTAAATTTTTAACGTTCGATGAAATTTTAGATTAGTTTTAATTTTACATTTTTTGTTTAAAAACTATTTTGCTTTCAAAAATTTGTTTTTTATCTCTCCACTCTCCATGATAAATAGTATAACATGCTAGAGAGAAGGTTCAAATTGATTAGCAAGGGAGGAGGTTCAAATTGATTAGGCATATACTAATTATGGAAACTTATTGAAATTAGATGAATTTTATATAAAAATAAAAATTTAGAAATTTATTAAACACAGTCTATTTTTCACTCTAGGAGTAAGTTTTTAAATTAACTAGTTTTTGCAAATTTGCAGGAGGAAAATTGCCCATGACCTGGTACCCACAGAGCTACCTTGCGAAGGTGCCAATGACGAACATGGGCCTCCGACCCGACCCATCGACGGGGTATCCGGGTCGAACCTACCGGTTCTACAAGGGTCCAGTCGTTTTCCCATTTGGGTTCGGTCTAAGCTACTCAAGGTTCACCCACTCAGTCGAAGCCCCAACCAAAGTCTCGGTCTCCCTTTCAAATCTCCGACCCGGTCCCACTCCCAACTCCACCTTCTCCAACGGTTCGATCAAAGTCTCGCACGCCAACTGCGACTCGATCTCCAATCTTGGCCTCCACATCGACGTCAAAAACTCCGGAACCGTCGATGGCTCCCACACGGTTCTTGTTTTTGCAACTGCTCCCAACGAAAAGTTGTTTCCGAATAAGCACTTGATTGGGTTCGAGAAGGTCCACGTGCCGGCCGGGTCGGAGCAGCGAGTCAGGATCGGAATCCATGTCTGCGAACATCTTAGCCAAGTCGACCGGTCCGGAACTCGGATAATTCCGACCGGTGACCACACGCTCCATATTGGAGATCTTACTCATTCAATATCTCTTCGAGCTGATTTACAAGATATTAAATTCTGATTAAATACCATAAAAAAGTTGATTACAAAAAAATTTATTGTAAATAAGTGATAATGTAATTCGATTATAAGATGTGTATGGAAGTATTGTTAATGCCTCAACGCGGCAAACATGCGAGGGGCAGTTTGGGTATTTTAACAAGTGTAAATTTGTGATTTGACAGATAATCTCTGTCTTCTAATAATGAAGCTTGGGTTGTTTCTATGTTATACTTTTAATTTTCATCTCTTGTTTTTCATCATCTTATTGTTCGAGTATTTTTAAAAGTACAATCCTTAGATGTTTATTGGTTAATATCATTATTTTTACTTATCATTTTTTTTTGACAAGTTAGAGAAATAAATGTAAATACATAGATACATATATTTTTTTCTTAACTTTTTTAAAAAAATTAAAATATGAAAATGGTACTAACCGTTAACATAAGTATTGTTTATCGTTGAAGGCAAAATTCATCGATGGCTTTTCTTGTTTATCCAATCATTTATCTTGTTTTCAGCCTAGATATTTTAAAATTATTTTGTTATATAATAAATATTTCGGGAAATTTCAACATTATTAACAATCTTAAATTGAACTTTAACAATTAAAGTATTAAAAAAATGTTTTTATTAATTGAATTTAGACAATCCTTTAAAAAAAATGACATCTTAATGGTCAAGTAAATGCGTTTTGACTGAGTTTAAAACGGAGCTTAGTGATTAATGACCTAAATTCCACCTAACATTTTTTTTGAGAGAAAATTCCACCCAACGTAACTGACTAAAGAAGACGTGTTCGTTTTTTTACCACAAATTTGAAAAGGCGTTTTTATTCCCGAATTTGGTAGTTATTTGTGTTGAACGTCTTCTGCTAATTGCTGTACCCATAGATAAGCACGCGATCCCATCAAAATAATTAATGAGTTTTTTAGTTTTTTTTTTAATTCTGAATTATTTAAAACCTATGTTTGACAGTATACATCTCGTTGAAATTTCACTGGAGATCATAATTCTAACTTTGAACTTTTCATTTTTCTCAAATATAAGTATGTGTTTTTTATAATTTTTTTATTTTTTAATATCACGTTTGAAATTGAGAGTGACTTACTAGTTTGGTTAAATTTTAAAATTTTAATCTATTTGAATATACATATTTATTTTTTCCTACCTGTATATATTTTACTTTTTTTGTTATTTTTAGGGTTTAGTTAGATTTTTGTTTCCCGATAATTATGGGGTGGGGATTTAGTCATCTGCTTTGGTAATATATATTTTAAATATTCAAATTAACAAATTTAGTTAAGATTTGAATCGAAATGAAATCGCGTAGTAATTAAATTATCATTAAACAATGTGATTTTTTAGAAAATGGGAAAGAAAAATGGTCATCCAATAAGTTTTTTAGTTTCATCTTCTCAACCAATTTGAGTTGAAACTTTTTTTTTTTAATCTTTTTCGATTTTCAACATTTAGAATATAAATCAAAATCTGATATTTCTAAACCACAATACTTTTAGAACCCGACGTGTCATATTTGTTTTTCCACTTGAGAGAGGATTGGGCGGCTCATTGGCTCAGTCTTCCGTTGACAAGCTTACGAGAATAATAAAAAAATTAACGAGTCAAACAACATTTAATAATAATAATAATAACCGTCAATATTATCTTATCCCTATTTTATTTTAATTTGTTAATATAATTTCGGCGATATGAGTCAGGTTTAATTGTGCATTTTCCAAAAAACAATTTCTTTTAAGTCAACTAAGAAAAACTTTTAAATCATACCATAAGATAGGACCAGTCACCTATTATATTATTATCACAAAATTTGATAGTTTGGAATCCGTTTGATAACGTTCCTTTTATTTATAAATTTTATTAAGAAATTTAAGTATTTTGCAACTAAATATGTTTATTTTGTTTCTCATGTGTTTGAAATATTTATAGAAACTTCGGAAACAATTAAAACAAATTTATTGTTTATTGTGTTGTTTCCGATTTGTACAATTATTATTATTTTTTTTAAATGAAAGAAACATAAATAAAAAAACCTTACCGTTGATTTCCCACTCCACAATTTACTCAACAAAAACAAACAAATATTTATACAAACATTATTAAAATGAGTTACTTTTTCCGGAAGGTATTAAAATAAGTTACTTGAATGGAGTAAAATAGCATTCATCAACAAAATATGAAGATGTGGTATTCCTCCATATTTGACATCATTGTTTAACATTAAAAGAAACAAATAATTAAAATCTAAAACTTTTGAAATAAATAAAAAAAAATTGAGACATATTTTAACATAAGTCACATGAAAGTATGAGCTCAAGCCACACTATATCCACACGAAAAGATATATCATTTCACCTATAGTTATGTCTCTTTAAAGATAACCCATTACAAAAGATAACTTTCTATTACGGCAATTGTGGTTGAAAAACACATCTATTATAAATGAAATTAACTATTTTTAAAATAATTATATTTCAAATGTTAACGCGAGCCTAGTTATATGCTCTGACACAATATTTTAGATGAATTAATTTTTTTAGCGGGAGGCAAAAGAATTTGAGCCATTAAAAAATATTAAAATTTTGTAAATTGTGGTAGTAATGTGTCTTCAAGTCTTCGTTTGGGGCCAAAATGAGTATAACGTAATGATAACTGACATATACCAATAAATCTTAAAATCAACTCTATATTTAATTTCTGGAAATTTGCGAATTTCACCAATAAATTTATTTAAAAAAGTAAATATAGTATTTAAAAAATAAAATTTGAAAGTATATAACCTCAAATTGATCCTCTTTACTCAACCGCCCGTTATCATTCCTCCACTTCCACATCTATCCATATTTCGTAATTTTCATTTTATCTCTCCTTCGCATCTCTCTCCCAAAGGTATTTCTCTCTCTAAATTCCTGGTTTTATTCCGCCATGTTTGAACTGCTTTTTTCTTGTATCGAAGTTCTCCAGCGAAATCGATTAATCAAAGAGCTTCGAATTTTGTTTTCCAGAGCGAGTCGAGTTCAATATCTGTTTATGAATCGGTGAATTCATTATTAATTTCTTCATCCTTTTTGTTAACCATGGCGGCGTTATGGTTTTTGATAGGAAATCACAAATCAGATATGGCGGATCATCGAAGCGCCGGTGGAGAAGACTATTTCCCCTTCCATCAAAATCAGGTACATTGAATTTTATTTATTTTTCGTCTTTTTTCCCCTTCAATTTAAATCCCAATTTAATAGTTTCGTGTATTTAAAATATATTTTATGTACTTTAAATGTTAAACGTTATTTCACGTTTAACATAAATTTTGAGTAGTCAATTTCTATACTTTATAATTCAAAAGTTTAATAATTGTGATTAAACAAATTATTATATGATTTTTTAAAAAGTATTTGTAAGTAGAAAGTATAAGAAAAACAGGATTTAAGTCATTTTTCATTTTTCAATTTTTTTTTTCGAAAAAAAAAAAGTCACTTTCCTGTTTTGTTTAAGTAAAAAAAAAAATGCCAAATACATGACAACCAATGAATTTTGCGTGGCTTCTGTTAGTGGGCCCAGAAAAATAACCAGTGCATTTGATCAATCGTCTATTTGTAAAGTATTAGTTTTTATTTTTCATTTAATAAACGTGGGTGGTTTACTGAACTATGTTTATCGTACTAATTTTACTTTATTTTTTATTATCAATGTTGTCTCTAATTATATGACGAGATTTGATTTAACTTATAAAAATAATTTGAAACAAAGACAATAGATCGTTAGGTAAGAAACAAGTGTCTTTAAAATCAAGCTTTAATGGAAAAAAAGAAGTCATTGCATAGATTATGCTTTCAATTTAAACTTAAATCATTTTATATTCAACCATTTAAAAATGGTAGTAGAATGATTTGTTTTAGCCACTATTTTATACCATTGAAATCACCATTTTTTAATATCCATATATTACATTTTAAAATGAATTGATTGAGAGTAGATTCTTTAATACTATTCATATGATTTTAGAAGAAAAACATCACTAAATATTTTCAAAAAAACAATTTAATGCATGAAATATCAATTAAGATATACAAATGATTAAGAAAAAAAAAATTCAAATATAATAGAAAGTTATTTTTTTCTCTCTCTTTCTTAACTCTTGAATACTCTAAATGATCTGTAAAATGAAGATATATAATATATATATATATATATATATTGACATGATGTTTTATTTTATTTTTTGTTGGGTTTAATCATCGTATTTTTAGAACCACGTTGTCCCCTTATCATTTAATTATGACGAGAAACGAATGGAGGTTAAAATGGACCCATATTTAATAATAGGAGTTAATTATTGAGGTCAACTCTTTATTCTTTAACAAAGAAATTCCCGAAAAAAAAAACTATTTATCAGAGGGCACACATCCACATGCCTTTGGAGGATGGGATTACTTTTTACCTTCTTCGAATTTGTCGGCAGAGTGAAAGGATTCTTACGGTGTCGTATTGGGATTATTTTTTATTTTCTGGACTCAATGGTTGACATAATTTTGGTTTATTTTTAAAATATGTGATTTCCAATATGTTTTATTAGTAAAAAAACTGCATTTTGACTTATATTTTTAATTAAATTATCAATTTGATCGGAACATATTGAAACTATATTCAAATCATAGAGATTCAATTTATAAATTAATTTCCAAAGCGACATAACTGAGTGATAATTTCTATATATTTCCAATCAAAAGATTGTGGGTTCGATCCCTCATTGTCGCATAAAAAAAACAGTCAAAAAATGAACTCATTAATTTATCCTTGAAAGTAAAAAATGTTGCTTGCTTTTCTAAAGAGTGAGTTTCTAAATGAATGGTGGAAATATCACATATTTTGTTTACCAATAGTTTCTGTTAAAAAATGTCTCTTGGAGCAATCATTTCAAATGGGATACTTCTCCTAATAAAGTATTTTTCCAATATTTCACGAAAAAAAATAAAGAAATGATTTTCATTTTAAGTATTTATGGTTACCATATAATTGAGCCTTTTGTGGTGTAAATAATAAATAACATAGGCAGCAACAGCAGCAAGTGGGAACAAATATGGAGGACTTGCCCCAAAGAAGAAGCCATTGATTTCAAAGGTAATAATATAAAATAAAATGAGTGGTTTCACCAGCTTCAGTCGTTTCTCTCTGACTTTGTTCACATATTTTGAGTTTTAGGACCACGAACGTGCCTTCTTTGATTCCGCAGACTGGGCCTTGTGCAAGGTACTTTTTCATCCCACGTTTTCCTATATAATAATAATAATAATAAATAGATAAATAAATAAATGGTAACAGCAAAATAAGGTAAAAATAGGTTAAATTATAAGTTTCACTTTCAATTTTTGTGTTTAATATATAACTATTGCTAATTCTGTAAATATCTCGACATGCCTAAAATCATCCTACCATGTCATTTTTAAATAATATGATCAATAATATAAGTTTATTTTATACAAAATTGAAAGTTTAGAATGACATATGTTTATTTTAAACAAAATTTAAAGTTCAAAATATGTAGATCAAATAATAAACCTGATCTAAAAATTTTATTGACAACAAGGATATGATTATTTTGGGCTCTTTTGTAAGGTTTTTGTTTATATTTCTTCATTTTTTAATAAAAAAAAAATTATTTTTTTTATTTATGTTTTGGAACAAATTTAAAAGGAGAATATTTATTTTTGTTTTGTTGTTTCCAAAAAATACCAAGAAATAGCGGCTGACTGTGTTGTAATTGACAGCAAGGAGCTGGGCTATGTAATAGCGTGGCCGTAGAGAAACTACAGCCCAAGCTACAGGTACTCCTAAAAATTAATTTTCTGAAAAAAATTTACGTTATCTTTGTAAAACTAATTTCCAAATATGACCTGATTTTTTGTTTTAACTACCAGAGGACCCCAAAGCCACAGCTCCCACCAAGGAGGCCGGTGTGCACATCCGAGAAGGGCAATATCGTAAGAAGAAATCCGACTCAAAACTCTTTAATAATTATTTTGCCTATTTTTTATTTTCACGGTTTTGTCTTTTTCAACGCAGGCAGAATAGATAATTAAAAGGAAATGGGAAATCTGGTCTTTGGAAGGGTTGATTTAATTGTGCAATTTTTAGCCCTCTAGATTAATCCCGAACGACCCCACTTATTTTCATTGTTTTATTTTAGATGAATATCGTTGAAATTATTTGTATCATTCAAACCAAATTTGTCTGGGATATTCTAATTATATGATTTTAATTTTGAGACAAAGGGAATTTGACTCATATAGAACACTTAGACATGTATCCGAACTACTAAGACTATTTTTTTAATACAAATATAGGAATGGATCTAAACTACTAAAACATTTTTTTTATTTCCCGACACAAGAGGACTCGAATCCGAATCCTTGGTGGCAACACTCATACCTCTTGTCACTGTGCTAATATCAAGTTATCATAAAAATTAAGTGTTGATTTTTATCATATCCTGTAATTTATGAACAAATTTGGTCATTCATCAATTAATTGATCTACATATACAAGACACATAATTAAATCTTTAAAAAAATGTTCACGATACATACTAAATCATTACAAACTTTACACGTGACTAAATTGTTAAAGTTAAAAATTAATTTGTTAGTACAATGAAAGTAAAATGATAAAAAGATCCTACATTGAAAAGAGATCATACCTAACAATTCATATCAAATTGTTGTTTATATATAAGCAGTTAAATGGTTTAATCTAAACTTATATTAATTAATTTATTAACATTTTATCCTCGTTAAAAAAGGATCGTTTTTTAATATGGAAATAATGGAAAGATCCCTGAAATCACGGAACAAACTTCACGAAATCAACAATTAGCCGTTACGTTATCGACGCTCCTCTTCAACGGTCCATTTCTTAGTTAGACAATCACTTCACAGTCATTACTCTGCATCTCAGTCGGAAGCGTACGGCCTCCGCACTCTCTTCTTCTTCTTCTTCTTCAGAGCCTTCCATCAACATCAGCGCCAGCGTCCTCTGCCCTTCTGAGTGGTTCGTTGCGACCTTGCAAACCCTAGATCCTTACCAGGCAAAGAGAAAACGCAGCGCAGAGCACGAAGAAGGCTTCTCGTCTCGTTGATGAAAACGTAGAGGTAAAACAACTCCGTTTCTGCCTTTTATTGTTCTGGGATTGGATTGAAACTTCAAGGGCTCGCCCGGCCGTTCCGATTGTTTCTCTTTCGTTGGTTTTCCGCTCCGATGCCATTAATTTTTTCTTATATGTCATCTTAATCAACGCATTCTCTCAGCGATTCTTTATTTATCTGTTTTATTTTATCATTTCCTTCTGTGTGTTTACTTCGGGGTCAATCGAGAACTTCTTAGGTTAATTAGGGTTTTTTTGTTCTTTTTTTCTTTTGCCTGTTAAACTTACATAGATGGTTTTCTGTTTTTCGTATTTGTGGAAACGGGTTAGGGGTTTACTCTTCGTTTCTTCGAAATTAATTAAGATTGGGAATGTCAAACATGGCAGGTGAGGAGTTTAGAAGACACGACTTTCTTGACTATTGGCATAGGGGCACTGGTATCGTTTGTAAAAACAGAGTTCGTCACGTGGTCATGTAATACACGTTTCTGAAATTTTATTAGATGATGCTAATCTTAATTCCTCGATTGGGAATTCGAATTTTATGGGATGTGTTTTGATGTGAATTACCAGGATGCATGGTCGAAAGGTGTTATTTTTGGTTCACAACAGAGGAGGATGCAGAGGAGGATTTTATTTCTGAAATTCGGTGATGAATTGGAGGTTGGAATTGAACCATAGCGTATTGCCCACTAGAATTGAGATGGATTGACACAGACGTGGGACCTGGTCGTTTCTTGAGTTAATTTCTCAATGTGAAAAGATTCCTACCATCCTGTTTCTTTCAAGCAAAATACGGTATGAAGTTGGGGCAAAAAGGATTTCAGAAAATCACTGATTTTTCATTCATAGTAATTAAAATAGAATAAGATAGATCTTCAACTTTTCAACTTGCAATTGTCACTCAAGAGATCATAGATCTAGATCACTGTTGAGATCTCCCCATTATTCTAGGGTATTTGTTAATAATTGCATAATTGTCAATCTGTTTTAATTGCATAAAATATAATGTGCAGGTAATTCGTGATAGGGTCGACATTGTTGAGGGTAGTTTGGTGACCACTAGTCACTCAGTTACTGGTGGGTATTTGTTCTTTGAGAACTTAATTCGAGAGAACCAACCTTATGTACCAATTTTTCACTCTAAATTAATGCTTTTGATTGCAGCTATTAAAAAATTGTTAGACCTTCAAACAAAGATGGGAAAGCAGAAGATCTGCAAAGGTAATCAAGTTTGCTTAATACACATTTTTTGTGCACTGTCCTTTATCTTGTAGTTATATAAAATTATCAGGTTCATCTGGGAGCAATATTATTTACTCTAATACTAATTTAAATTTGAACTTAATTCTTTATGCTTGATTTGATTATGTTTTCATATTTTTTTAAAAAATTACTTGTTGGCTAGAATTTATTCCTTCTTTACTTCGTAAAAATATTTTGGCAGTCTTGCTAAAATTGAAAAAAAGGAGACTACGCTTTTAAAAATTTGAAGCTTTGTGTGGATTTAATTTTTTCAAAGAGGAGATTTGAAATCAGAGAAACCAGAAATTATTACTAGGAACTTTAAATTAATGATTTAACTTTTTAGCTATATTTTAATGTAAACAATTTGCATGGTTGATGGTTCTTATTTCATTAGTCATGAAGTAATCATATGATTTGAAACTAAATAAAACAAGAAGACGATTTGGTTTTTATTCTCCTTCAACTTGTCATCTCATTTGATTTGATAATCCAATCAACCTATGAATCCATTTTTTAAAAAATTGGTTGGGTCATAATATCAACCATGAAAAGATCTCTTGGGCTTGTGATAACCTTTCAGCCTATTAAGTCAACTACTATTTATATAATTAGGTAATAATAATTTTTTCAATAGTTAAATCATCTTATATTTTGAAAAAAGGAATCACAAGATCCCATAAATACTATTTGTTTGAATAAATAGAGGAAGACTCCAAATATGTTATGATTAATATTATCAATACTATTATCAATTTGGAAATAATTAATGTTCATTTTCAAAATTTCTATGGTACTTTGGAAAAGGATACTTTACCAATTTAAATTTTGTTTAATCCTTTGAGACATGTTTATAATTCCTTCAATCCATTACAGTTCATTCACTTTATGTAGGCAATTCTAGTTGCTTTTCGCTGAGGATTCCAACATGTGTACGACCTAGTTCTCACGTGAAGTACATTTTTGGCATTGTTGTAGTCCTAATAAGGTGAGGTTCCCACACAACATAATCTTTATAAATATTTCAATTTTTGTTTAAATTTGATGGTATTTGTTTTTATTCTTTATAAGTAAAATCTTTACTGTATCTTTGTTTTTCTTTTTGATATTTTTTGTGCTACTGATTTTATTTTTTATTTAGATGTTAAAAGATTAAATAATAAAGATTAATAACTAACCATTATGAATGTTAAGCCTGAGAGAGGTTCATAAGTAAGAAAAATGAAAAAAAAAATGATGCAATAATTTCTTTGGATTTATTACTGTTTTGGGTAGTTTGAAATCAAGCATTGAACCTTAATTTTTTCCCATTAGAAACTAAGTGATCCAAACGTATATGAGGAATTTATGGGACAAAAGGATCTCGCAAATAAATTGGAGGCTACGGTGGGTGTCAACAAGCCATTTGTGGTTTTAAGAAGGTAGAAAGACTATGGAAGGAAACTGAAGATCAAATGATGGGAGTGCATCAAGGTTAAAGGAAGGTCGTTCATGTGGAAAGAATTTAAATATGACGTGTTATTTGGAGTTTTATTAGTTTGTGGACAAGTTGTGGAGAAATAATAACACTAGTGACCTTCTAGATATAAGCTACTTGATAAAAGTAACAGTTGTGGGATGGAGAGTAGAGGTCTAGGAATTTAAAACAGCGATAATTCTACAATAATGAATTGTAAGGCTATTGGTACCAGATAAAAGATTGATTTTATCGGCCAATAAGGATAGGGAGAGAATGATGTTTATTTAAAGAGAAAAAATTGATTCTGGATCAAAGAATGTAACGAGAACACAATACTTTCATTATTTGGATTGGATGTAATGATGGCTACCAAGTATTAAGGTTTGATTTGGGGCTAATGAGGAAATAAGGTTGTAAAGATTGGTTGGCAAAGTGGATGAAGTTATAAGATGATTCGATAAAGATCTCTCTTAGAATATTTGGTATTTTGCCTTGAAGAATGAAATGAAAGATAACCATTAAGGATTATGTACTTGATGAGGAAAAATATACATGTAGTATGACAGATGGCTATAAAATCGTAAGATGAAAAATTCTTGGAGAAGTTGATTTTGGAATAAGATGACAGATGCTATAAGAAGTTTGAGAATGTTCTGGATATGTGGCAAAAAGTTGAGACAGACAACTGTGAATTACTTCCAATTTTAGTCATCATAGTTGAGAATTTTCTTGAACACAAAGTTCACTCAAATTGAAGATCCACTTGTATGTTATTTTGTGCACAAAATTTAGGAATGATGTGCATGAAAGGGAAAGATGTATGTAGTGTGATGGATGGAGGAATATGCATTGGACTACATATTAAGACAAAAACTGAAGAATTCTTTGAAAAGTTTATTTTCGAATGAGATGGCATAAAGAAGTTTGAAAATGTTCAAGGCTTGTGTGGAAAGTATTTACGAATCTTCCATTTTGTTTTTGTAGTTGTGGATTTTTATTGAGCTCGAAGTGTGTTCTAATCGGAGATTTGTTTGTATGTGATTGAGTTTTACAAGGTTTTCGACAATTGGTAGAGAGATTCATAAGTCTAAAATGAACAAGTGAGGGATGATGAAAAGAGGTTTTATGGAATTGTAAAGAATGGAAGCTATAGAATAAAAGATATTAGGGTAATTTGTGCTAAAGAAAAGTTTGATTGCATTGGTCAATAATATGGATTACATATAATAATTTGGATTTATCGAGCTTTTATGACGGGGTATTTAAGTAAGGAGAAAGATACTTTGTTTTAGGATGTAGGAATTTGGATTTAAGAATGAGACTAGACTTCAATGTTTTGTCTTAAGAATTCTTGTCTTGAGAGTTGGATAATAACTTTCTTTACTTAGTTGGGTACAATAATTGCGCTACCAAATAATGTCTGTATTGGGGCCAATGTGGGAAAAGAGTTGTAAATATTTGCAAAATGGATGAAGTATTAAGGATTGGACGAAGATAATTTCTTATTGATATTTGCCTTCAAGAATTAATTTAGAAAAATACATTGGAGATTATGTATTAAAAGAGGAAAAATGTTTTGTAGTCGCTATATGGGTGAACTGTGTAATGGAGTAGACATATTAAAATGAAAAAGTGAAGAAATCTTGGAAAAAAGGTTTGGGAACCAAAAGTTTGAAAATGTTTGAGGCTTGTGTGTAAAGTTAAAGTATTTTTGAATCACTTCAACTCGGTTTTTGTAGTTGTGGGTTTTTCTTGGGCATGAAGTGTGTTAGAATTAGAGATTTGTTGGTATATGGTTGAGCTTTACGAGGTTCTGGACAAGTGGTGGTGAGATTCGTAAGTCTAAAACGAACAAGTTGAGGGATGACGAAAGAGGTCTGATGGAATTTTAAGGAATGGAAGCTCTAGAATAAAAGATATTAGGGTAATTGGTGCATTGTATTGGTAAATAAGATGGATAAGAGACGATAATTCAGATTTATTGAATTTTATGGTTATGTATTCAAGGAGGAGAAAGATACTTTGTTAGGATATAGGAATTTGGATTTATGAATGAGACCATACTTCAATGTCTTGACTACACTAAGTGGATGAAGTATTAAGGATTGGACAAAGACACTTTCTCATTGGTGGTTTGCCTTGAAGAATTAATTTAGAAGAATACATTAGAGATTATGTGTTCCAAGAGGAAAAATATATTTGTAGTTTCTAGATGGATGGACTATGTTTCGAATAGACATATTAAAACCAAAAAAGTGAAGAATTCCTTGAAAATAGGTTCGGGAATAAGAAGTTTTGAAATTTTATAGATTTGTATGGAAGTTAAAAGACACTTGTGAAGCACTTCTAGTTGGTTTCGTAGTAAAGGATTTTTATTGGATACAAGGCTTTTTCAAAGTGGAGAGGATTTTTATATGATGTTCAGGTTGACAAGTGGTAGCAAATATGTCTAAAAGAAACAATTTAAGGATTTTGAGATGTGGTTTGATGGAACTTTCAACTAAGGAAGCACTATAATAAAAGATATTATAGGTCTATTGGTGAAGTTTGATTGTATTGTGGACCTAATGGTAAATAGGATTGATAAAGTACAATATTTTTTATTTCTTGAGATTTATGGTTATGTTTTGAGGAGGGAGAAAGACACTTTGTTGGATAAAGGAATTTTGAGAAAAAGAATGAGATTGAACTTCAACTTTATTTTAAAGTGTTCCTGTTTTGAGAATGGATGATAAAATTTTCATTGAGGTACCAAAAATTAAGGTTTGTTTTTTGGCAATGAGGAAAAAGGGTCGTATGGAGTATTATTAACATAATAAGACGAAGATACTTTCTTAGAATTGTTGATAATTTCCCCCGAAAATTGAAATGAGAAGACACCATTCAAGATTATGTACTTAATAAAGGAAAAAGATACATGCTGTGTGGTGAATGGAGGACTATGCATTGGAATGGATATATAACCGAAAACTTTAGAATTCTTTGAAAAGTTTATTTAGGAATAAGATGACGTAAATAAATTTGGAAATGTTCTAGTTTTGTGTGGAAAGTTGAGGGATTTTTGAGTCATTTCATTTGATTTTCATAGTTGTGGATTTTTCTTCGCCAAGTAGTTTGCTCCAATTGGAGATCTATTAGTATATGGTTTTGAGTTTTAGAAGTTTTTGGATAAGTGATGGAAAGACTTATAAGTCTAAAAAGAAGAATTGAAAGATGACGAAAAGAGGTTTGAGAGAATTGTAATGAATGGAAGCGTTACAATAAAAGATATTAGCGTAATTGGTGCTTGTGAAAAGTCTGATTCTATTGGTCAATAAGATGGATAAAGGACAATAATTTGGATTTGTTGAGTTTTATTGCTATGTATTTAAGGAGGGAGGAAGATACCAGTTAGGGTAAAAGAATTTTGGATTTTGGAATAATACTAAGGAAGAATTGAAAGATGACGAAAAGAGATTTGAGAGAATTGTAATGAATGGAAGCGTTAGAATGAAAGATGTTAGTGTAATTGGTGCTAGAGAAAAGTGTGATTCTATTGGTCAATAAGATGGATAAGGACAATAATTTGGATTCGTTTGAGTTTTATGGCTATGTATTTAAGGAGGGGGAAAGATATTTGTTAGCGAAAAAGAATTTTGGATTTAAGATGGATAAGGACAATAATTTGGATTCGTTTGAGTTTTATGGCTATGTATTTAAGGAGGGGGAAAGATATTTGTTAGCGAAAAGAATTTTGGATTTAAGAATGGTACTAGACTTCCAACTTCTTGTCTTAAGAATTCTTTTTTTAGAAGTGGATCAGCATTTTCGTTTGTGGTGATTGAGCTACCAAGAAATATGATTTTGTTTTGGGTTTGTGATGCAAAAGGGTTATAAAGATGAGGTAGTGGATGAAGAAGTATTAAAATTATTAGACAAAGATAATTTCTGAGTTGCTATTTAAGCAGGGAGAAATATACCTGTTAAGGTAAAAGAATTAGAGACAATAGTTTGGATTCGTTGAGTTTTATTGCTATGTAATTAAAGAGGGAGAAAGATACCTATAGGGTAAAAGAAACTTTTATTACTATATGGTTGGAGGAAGAGGAACTTTTATCAATGGAAGCACTAGAAAGAAAGATACGGGGGCTATTGGGGGAGTTGGATTGTATTGGTAAATAAGATAGATGAATATATTGGAGACAGATACTTTGTTAATAAAGGAATCTGGTGGGAAAGAATAGGATTGGACTTCAACTTTTATTATAAGGAGTTCTTGTTTTGAGGAGTGGTTGAAAAATTTCGTTATTTGGATTGGAGATCATGACTGAGCTACTAAGAAGTTCGTTTTTTGGACAATGAGAATAAATGGTCGTAAAGATTAGCAAACTGAACAAAGTATTAAGATAATAGGACAAAGATACTTTCATAGAATCGTTGAGATAACATTAGAGATTATGTACTTAAAGATGGAATGATACACGTTGTGTGGTGGATGGAGGGCGGACTACGCATTAGAATAAACATATTAAAACTGAAAAACTTTAGAA